ACTTGGACAAGGTATTACATAAAAGGGAAAAGTTCGTGTAAACCCCTTATTAGTTTCTAGAATATGGTACATTGTGGCAGTTCAGCCTCTTCCTGATAAGATTGTTGATGAATTAAAACAATTATTTCTTAGATTTATTTGGTCAGGAAAGTCCCATTTAGTCAACTATTATACGCTAATTGGGAATAAGCGAAAAGGCGGACTACAGTTAACTGATATAAAGACGAAAATGTATGCATTCAGACTAAATTTTTTAAAAAGATACTTTGATACGAATTGTCATACTATGTGGAAATCTACCTTTGATTACTTTTTATCTACTGTTCTGAACATGAAGTTGACCAAAGATTTATTTCTCATGTCCTTAAATAAGCAACAATTGAATACCCTCCCTATATTTTACAGAGAAATATTTTATGCATGGGAAAAAATTAGAAATAATATTGACACAAATATTGATGTGAAGAATGTTTTTGAACAACCTCTTTTTTTAAATCCTAATATTACTTATGCTGGTAAAAAGTTATTTTTCGTAGAATTTATAAAAGCAGGAATTGTTCGTGTTCAGGACATTACATATGAGTTTATACCTGGCTTTGTACCTTATAGAGCTATTCAAGAAATAATATACGAATCAAATCCAGAGATAAAAGCCGAAAAGATAAAAAAAGACTATAATTGCATACTAGAAAGTTTACCATTAAACTGGAGACATATTCTTACAAAAGAGTCAAAACCTACTGAAACAAATAAGACTATATATCTCAAAGATGGTACTAAATTGTATGACCTATGTTCAAGCACAACACAAATATTTTACAAACTTTTGTCTACTTCCATTTTTCAAGAACCATCTTCGGTTTGCTTTTGGAGTAAGATGTTTAGTTTAGAAAAGCTAGACAACTGGAAATTAATTCACTTGCCTTTCAAAACCCCAGATTGTATGGAATTAGATTATAAAATAATGCACAATCGAATATTTACAAAAGAAAGACTGAAATATTATGGCAAAATTGATAATGACAAGTGTCCAGTCTGCCAGTTGGAAACAGAAGATTTATTTCATATGTTTTTAAAATGTCCTGAACTAAGTTCTTTTAAAAACTATATTGTATATATTGTAGAGATTCTTTTCAAAAACTGTAGACTTGATGTTCTTCACAGTATTTCCTTTGAACAAATGTTGATGATAGGATATAACAAAGAAGCACCATCGGTCAATAGTTATTTCTTAAACTACATTCTGAGCCTTGCTCGATTGTGTATTTACAAAAGACGAAACAGCATGTCGACAATAGGAAAGAAAATAGACATAGAAAAATTGTTTAAATATTTGACTAGGAAATACATATTATATGTGTATCAACATTACAAAGACAAAGATCAGACTTTGTTTACAAAATATTTTGTACAAGACAATCCGCTAATAAGAGTAAAAGAGGAAAAAATGTTTCTCACTATGTAAAACTAACGTTTTGTAATACTATGTACATACTGACTGTAAACTTTTAATCTACATTTTGTAAAGAACGCTGTTTTTTAAATAAAGAATATAAAAAAAAAACTCGTCTGATTACGGATCAGGAGATTGCAGGTTCGAGTCCTGCCGGGCTCGATATGAAACTTTTATCCAAACGAAAAAAGTCCAGAATCATATGCTGAGTTCTGAATATCTAAAAGATTCTTTTATTGTCATCATTTACAAATAAAATGTAACTCAAGTTCCAAACAATCTTCTCTGAGACGCTATCAAATCTTATATATGTAACTAATAAATGATCTTATACAAGTGACATTATACGACTTTATTTTTTGTCATATTTCCAACTTAGTTACATACTTTCGAATACATTGTCTTGAATATCTGATTGTCATATTCTTCATCGTCATCATGAGCATCAGTATAATCGTAGTAGTAGTAATAGTATTAGTTCAAACGTATGCTAATCCATAGAAGACATGGTGCACAGGTAATGAGTCTGTGACCAAATGCACGTGATCCAAGACTACAGACTTCTTAATTTTGTATCTGAGCGGAAAAAAACCTGATATATTTGCGATTTCCTGATATTGGTTTATTAAATAAACTGACTTGGTTTTAACGTCTGGCATAGTTTTTATTATCTTCCGATTATATATATATATATATATATATATATATATATATATATATATATATATATATATATATATATATATATATATATATATATATATATATATTAGTTTTTTGCTAAATTAATTATCTTGCACATTCTATAAACTTCATAGACATATAACTTAAGGGAAACCTACAAAATCCAACAAAAAAAACCCTAAACCAAACCAAAACAACTGATTTCATGAGGATAGTAACGTTTAAGATGACTGATCGTTCTGAATCACAACATCGGATACAAACGACATCCCGAAAGTATCGTAGTTGGAAAAGGTGCTTGATTGGACTAAGGTGCCTGACGACGGATTAGGAGATTGCAGATCAAAGTCAAGTCTGGCACATTATATAGATTTGTTTATTCTAGAGCATGAAAACCGAAGATAAAATGCTATCATCTAAGCATCTTCAAATACTTAGAAATGGAAACCTTTCATTGGAATAATTTTGTAATATGACAAACAAGATACACTTGTACATTGATTGACATAATTTACATTAGACCTGGTAAAATGTGTTGATCACACCCGCACTCGGTATCATCGCCGCGCAGTAAGCGTCGGCTAAACGGCGATTTTCTATGTCATTTTCGATCATACTCATATGGCTTTCAACTCGGAGGTAAAGTCTGTTTATTAAGAACAAGATTTTAGTGTAACGTACGTATTCCCAATACTTTCTTTTCATACCTTCCCAAGGTCCATGCAATGTATCACTTGACGGTTTTTCAAATTAAGCACGATTGCTCGTGAAAATAATAAACAGCAAATAAGAGCGTTTACAAAGTGTAAAAATGACCATCTTTATTGGAGCACTTCCCTAATCGAATATACAATTTTGCAGATGCCGAGTTTTGAGTATTATGTTCGACCATTTCAGCGGTTCGTAAATCTCGCTGGTAGTCTGAAATCCCATGATGCGTAACTGGAAAGCGTGGATTTGGAGAAAGACTGAAATTAATCAAGTTAGTTATAACTTTAAAAAAAAAATGAACGTGTCCACGTGACATCTGCTCTCGCCATTTGTAGCTGTCAAATCTCGTTCAGACCCGCAACTAACATTTTGATCATTACATTATCAGTAGCAGTACTCGTAGTAGCAGTAATAGTGGTCATTCCATCAAAGCAATTATCTTTGATTATTGCTTTTAGAACAACTACAAAAATGAAATGAATACACGCACCAACCCACACACGAACATCTGTATGCATGAAGGGCCCGTGGCCAAAGTGGATAAGGCTTCTGACTTCGGATCAGGAGACTGCAGGTTTGAGTCCTGCCGGGCTCGTTTAGAAAATCTTTTTCACTGCGCATTAACACATTTTGTCTCTCAGCATCTACATACAGATACAAAATATGTGTATCGGCACAAAACATGCAAACAACGGTAACAAATCAGACTTTTGAAATTCTGAAAAGAGAGATAGTTAACTCTTTCAATGCACATTTCTATCAAATCGATTCGTCCATGCACCATTGCCCTTGCCATTTCTCTCGCCTTTGTAACCTTTTACCTCCCCATGTCTAGCTACAAAATTTGATATAGTCATGCAAATTTGTCACTCTTTCCTGACTATACGATTGCCATCACCATCATCAGTATTATCGTGATCGTGAACGTCAGTCAGTACTAGTAGCAGTTTAATAATCGGAATCCAAACATGAACGGGTGCACATGTGAGCAACATAAAGCCAAATTAGATATGCAGTTTCAACACAATCAGTAGATTGCAGGGTTGATTCGATGCAATAGGAAGAGATAATTTTATTCCTGCAGATTTATTTTTTTCATACCAACATTGTGTATCAGCATTGACATATTTACGGAATTCTTATTCACGTTCAAATTTGACAATGATGTCAACATTGTAGATTTTAAAACTACAACTCTCACCTGCGGCGTAGTCAAAATTCTATATACTTCACAAACTTTAAACAGCAAACGTTTCAGTCAGCCTTTTTTTGATAACGGAACAGTTTTGCATCCTAGCGATGATTTAATCAGCAGCAGCAACAACAGTCGTTACCCATTGTTCCCGTACACGTTAATATAGTAACAGCAGTCATAAATGTTGCTAGTAGCAGTAGCAATACTTGTAGCATTTGTAGACGTAATCCTTATTGTCGCCGTCGAAATAGCAATAGAAGCTACAGTGGTAAGTAAGAGACGTCGCCTAATGTTAAGCAGTGGTAATGCAGGCAGTGATATACCAACCATACGATCCATCAACCAAGGTTCGGAACAGTTCGAATGTGAAGGGCTCTTAGCCAAACTGTATAAAGGTCCTGACTTCAAATCAAAAAATTGCAGGTTCGAGTACTGCCTGGCTCTCTTGAACAATATTGTTTCCTCAAAACATGAACTAAGTTTCCTCATATCGTTTGTCAGATGTGCAACAAGCATGTGATATAACCGGCACTTTTAAAACACCTTAGTTAGAGCGGTAATGTTTTAATTTCCTTTTGTGCTTTGGGCATAGCAACATAAATAAGATATTTATTGTTGAGTCAAATGGAGCATAAATGCAAATAAATTTAGATGCTAATTCTGACAACAAGTCCACACACTCCATAAATTCATAACCCCTTCAAACTTTCCTTTCTCCTAAAGAAAGGAAACTGGCTGGAGACTGCTCTTTGGGATTTCACCGTGAAGAATGAGACGAGGTTACTCTGGTTAGCTTTAAGGCTCAAGAAACCTATGATATTTCCATATTCATGTTTACATACGAGTTATTCAGATTCAAATATGACGCTTGTTAACATTTCTGTAAGGAAATACTCCAATGCCGTTGTAACTGGCATTCAGCGGTAATCGAACATGACAGTATACTAATAGGACTTATTTTAGTCGTACAAGTATTACCCAAACCACAAGAAACTACAGTGGAAAGCACGTTACTGCGAAGGGCTCGTGGCCAAATTGGATAAGGCGTCTGATTACGGGTCAGGAGATTGCAGGTTCGAGTCCTGCCGGGCTCGATATGAAACTTTTATCCAAACGAAAAAAGTCCAGAATCATATGCTGAGTTCTGAATATCTAAAAGATTCTTTTATTGTCATCATTTACAAATAAAATGTAACTCAAATTCCAAACAATCTTCTCTGAGACGCTATCAAATCTTATATATGTAACTAATAAATGATCTTATACAAGTGACATTATACGAATTTATATTTTTGTCATATTTCCAACTTAGTTACATACTTTCGAATACATTGTCTTGAATATCTGATTGTCATATTCTTCATCGTCATCATGAGCATCAGTATAATCGTAGTAGTAGTAATAGTATTAGTTCAAACGTATGCTAATCCATAGAAGACATGGTGCACAGGTAATGAGTCTGTGACCAAATGCACGTGATCCAAGACTACAGACTTCTTAATTTTGTATCTGAGCGGAAAAAAAACCTGATATATTTGCGATTTCCTGATATTGGTTTATTAAATAAACTGACTTGGTTTTAACGTCTGGCATAGTTTATATTATCTTCCGATTATATATATATATATATATATATATATATATATATATATATATATATATATATATATATATATATATATATATATATATATATATATATATATATATATATATATGAGGAATACTGCCAAAAATTACAAATTCAAATTTGTGATCAAGTCATCTTAATTTTAGGAGTTTATGTTGGAAAATGTGCAAAGTTATGCGAGCAGCTTAATTGGAATGATAGGATATCTAAAATTAAAAACTTATTACAACTATGGACACAGAGATATCTGACAGTACAAGGAAAAGTTACAGTAGTAAATACCTTATTAGTCTCTAGAATATGGTACATTGTGGCAGTTCAGCCTCTTCCTGATAAGATTGTTGATGAACTAAAACAATTATTTCTTAGATTTATTTGGTCAGGAAAGTCCCATTTAGTCAACTATTATACGCTAATTGGGAATAAGCGAAACGGCGGACTACAGTTAACTGATATAAAGACGAAAATGTATGCATTCAGACTAAAATTTTTAAAAAGATACTTTGATACGAATTGTCATACTATGTGGAAAACTACCTTTGATTACTTTTTGTCTACTGTTCTGATCATGAAGTTGACCAAAGATTTATTTCTCATGTCCTTAAATAAGCAACAATTGAATACCCTCCCTATATTTAACAAAGAAATATTTCATGCGTGGGAAAAAATTAGAAATAATATTGACACAAATATTGATGTGAAGAATGTTTTTGAACAACCTCTTTTTTTAAATCCTAATATTACTTATGCTGGTAAAAAGTTATTTTTCGTAGAATTTATAAAAGCAGGAATTGTTCGTGTTCAGGACATTACATATGAGTTTATACCTGGCTTTTTACCTTATAGAGCTATTCAAGAAATAATATACGAATCAAATCCTGAGATAAAAGCCGAAAAGATAAAAAAAAGACTATAATTGCATACTAGAAAGTTTACCATTAAACTGGAGACATATTCTTACAAAAGAGTCAAAACCTACTGAAACAAATAAGAATATATATCTCAAAGATGGTACTAAATTGTATGACCTATGTTCAAGCACAACACAAATATTTTACAAACTTTTGTCTACTTCCATTTTTCAAGAACCATCTTCGGTTTGCTTTTGGAGTAAGATGTTTAGTTTAGAAAAGCTAGACAACTGGAAATTAATTCACTTGCCTTTCAAAACCCCAGATTGTATGGAATTAGATTATAAAATAATGCACAATCGAATATTTACAAAAGAAAGACTGAAATATTATGGCAAAATTGATAATGACAAGTGTCCAGTCTGCCAGTTGGAAACAGAAGATTTATTTCATATGTTTTTAAAATGTCCTGAACTAAGTTCTTTTAAAAACTATATTGTATATATTGTAGAGATTCTTTTCAAAAACTGTAGACTTGATGTTCTTCACAGTATTTCCTTTGAACAAATGTTGATGATAGGATATAACAAAGAAGCACCATCGGTCAATAGTTATTTCTTAAACTACATTCTGAGCCTTGCTCGATTGTGTATTTACAAAAGACGAAACAGCATGTCGACAATAGGGAAGAAAATAGACATAGAAAAATTGTTTAAATATTTGACTAGGAAATACATATTATATGTGTATCAACATTACAAAGACAAAGATCAGACTTTGTTTACAAAATATTTTGTACAAGACAATCCGCTAATAAGAGTAAAAGAGGAAAAAATGTTTCTCACTATGTAAAACTAACGTTTTGTAATACTATGTACATACTGACTGTAAACTTTTAATATACATTTTGTAAAGAACGCTGTTTTTTAAATAAAGAATATAAAAAAGGCGTCTGATTACGGGTCAGGAGATTGCAGGTTCGAGTCCTGCCGGGCTCGATATGAAACTTTTATCCAAACGAAAAAAGTCCAGAATCATATGCTGAGTTCTGAATATCTAAAAGATTCTTTTATTGTCATCATTTACAAATAAAATGTAACTCAAATTCCAAACAATCTTCTCTGAGACGCTATCAAATCTTATATATGTAACTAATAAATGATCTTATACAAGTGACATTATACGAATTTATATTTTTGTCATATTTCCAACTTAGTTACATACTTTCGAATACATTGTCTTGAATATCTGATTGTCATATTCTTCATCGTCATCATGAGCATCAGTATAATCGTAGTAGTAGTAATAGTATTAGTTCAAACGTATGCTAATCCATAGAAGACATGGTGCACAGGTAATGAGTCTGTGACCAAATGCACGTGATCCAAGACTACAGACTTCTTAATTTTGTATCTGAGCGGAAAAAAACCTGATATATTTGCGATTTCCTGATATTGGTTTATTAAATAAACTGACTTGGTTTTAACGTCTGGCATAGTTTATATTATCTTCCGATTATATATATATATATATATATATATATATATATATATATATATATATATATATATATATATATATATATATATATATATATATATATATATTAGTTTTTTGCTAAATTAATTATCTTGCACATTCTATAAACTTCATAGACATATAACTTAAGGGAAACCTACAAAATCCAACAAAAAAACCCTAAACCAAACCAAAACAACTGATTTCATGAGGATAGTAACGTTTAAGATGACTGATCGTTCTGAATCACAACATCGGATACAAACGACATCCCGAAAGTATCGTAGTTGGAAAAGGTGCTTGATTGGACTAAGGTGCCTGACGACGGATTAGGAGATTGCAGATCAAAGTCAAGTCTGGCACATTATATAGATTTGTTTATTCTAGAGCATGAAAACCGA